CTTATTCGAACAATCAAATATTTCACTATTCAGTAGAAGAAAACAGGATAGGAAGCGAAAAGGTGACCCCTAGATGTTTTTTATTATAACAACAGCCTATTGGTTGACTCAACCGACTATATACGTCTAACACACTTTTTCCTCAGGACTTCAGAAAGACTGACCCATGATCTGTTCAAAATTATCTTCCGTTTTTAATTAGAAACATCTCTATCAGGCCCCCTCTACCTCAGAAAGAACATTGTTCCCAAGGAGTGAGTTTAAAACTTGATGGCCTCGTATTAACTCGGACTAAGGAATAAACCTCTTTCAGTTATCTTGGACTCATCGTATTCGTGACACACGTAGTACGGAAGGATAATGGGGGTGTATAGTCACGATCTATTAAAGCTTTTTCAGTCTTTATGTCACTAGAATAATGATACATTTCCCTATCAAACTACTGATAAGAGAGCACCATCTAAGGTCAGGACATGTAACATTATACACGAATATATGTGCAGACGGTTTATTGCTCACAGTCCAAAAAATTTGCAATTCGCTAGTGTTACATGAATAATACACCTACTGATTCATCTTAAAGAAGGTTCGATGATTACTTCATATCCAGTGGAAATAAAAGCAACTTCTCTACGTGTTATTCGCCAGTCAATCTTTCTGGCTGTCGACTAGCTTTTCATCACTTTTAGTCTTTGGGTGACTGAAAAAAGAGTTTAAACTTTTTGTAAACCAGATTTTCTTATTTCAGTTTCAGTTTGGAAGGGACAGGAGGTCTGATGGCCTGTGTTAGTCCTGGCAATGATGGTCTCTCGGTTGATCCAACTTTCTTTTGAAAGGGTGGGCGGATGGAGCCTCAACCACGTGTTGAGGAAATGAATTCCACTCATTGATGATTCGATGGGGAAGTTGATAGTCAGGTGACAAGTAATTTGTTCTGGGCTTGTGAACTTTTTTGGAGTGTCCTCGTAAATCCTCTGTTTTGGAAGACAGGGATAATGAGGGCATTTCAGGTGCAAATTTATCACTAAGCAATTTGAAAACTGCAATCAAGTCGCCTCTAGTTCTACGATATGACAACGGGAAAACGTTTAGCTTGGCCAGTCGAGCATCATACGGAAGCTTCGCTATTCCGGGAATCAGCTTATTTGCTGTTCTCTGAACCTTTTCCAGAAGCTCACTGCCTTTTTTAAGCAGGGGCTAGCCGCTTTTATACAGTACTCAGGTTTAAGGCGTACGAACACTGTATACAAAGTCAAAAACATTTTAGCGTCGACATGACTAAAAGACCCACGTATTGACCATAAGGTTCTAAAACCTTTGGCGGATTTTGCATGGCAGTGTGCAGTAGTCTTTAAGTCTTGGCTAACGAAGACTCCTAAGTCATTATGTATCTGGACGACAGGTAGCTCAGTGTTATTCATCGTGTATGTATCTGTACCTTGATGACCGATAAGCATCACAACACACTTGGAAGTATTTATCGGCAACTGTCAGGTTTGAGACCATTCAGATAATTTCTTCAGGTCATTCAGGAATTCTAAGCTATCACCTTTACATCGTATCGTTCTCCATATCTTGACATCATCTGCATATTAGCATGACCGATGATGATAGGAGGCGTAAGGCTCGAAGCATACTTTAGAAAGTCATGTTTCATAACTTTGTTTCATGTGACCTCATAGCTTCCGTTTTACAAATAAAGATTTGTTACGGATTTTACCTATAAAGATAAGATTTTGTTTATCTGTATGTTCTTCCTCCAGTGCCACATTATTTTGACTGTGTTGGTTCAGTAAGTCGTGGTTGGCGTTGGCACTCTTTATCGCTGTTAGTATTTCGGAAGTGCACTGTAGATTTATGTGTAGTTTTTTAGTTTGGTTTCATTTCTCAAGGTTTTTCAAGTCTTTGAACCTGCCTGTGCTAATAACCTACCAATATTCTTGTTACAGGCGTTCCATAGACCTCTGTAATGAGCGACTTTCCTTCGAAATTTGCTCAGCTAAGCGTGCGGTCGGAGAAAAGTAGTCACAATGACTTGTCTAACGTTCAGCGTGCCAATGGGGATGAAGACAAGGGCTCTAAGGGTAACCCATGGAAGCCAAGTAAGTTATTTACGATGCTTATCCCCCCCCAGTAGTCCCTAGTTCCGAAAACAATTCTTTGGAAGCAGACGCTTGGCCTGAACCATCGGCACCTACTGAACAGCGGCGTATTACTCGCATCGCAGAGGAAAAGCCCAAAAGTAAGTCGAAAACTAATGTTCATGTCTCTTCAGGAAAGTTGAAGTGGCATAATTACGAAGTAGATGATACTACTTGTGGTTTCCCTCGAGGGCGTGGTCGCCATACAGTTGGACCGTTTGCTGGAGCTAACTACACCAGTAGTAATGTCAGGCCATTTCGCAGGGGTAAGAGATTAACGTTCTGTGATTCTTCAGGTTATGGAGGTTACCGAAGTCGCATCTTACCTGATGCAAACAGAGGTCGCAACAGTAATGGGTTCTATCGTCATCCTGGTCGTTTAGGAAACGTACGACCAGTTAGTGAACCTAAAGAAAATCCAAACGAACCTAGTCAAAAGAATAGCCCAGTTCAAGCTAGTGATACATGTAGCGTCTCAGTTGATGTTCATTTGAGTACAGATGTATCAGCTCTTGACGAAAAGGTTTCAGATCGCGGTTTACATCTGCCAGAATCGGTTGATGTGTCAGGTCAACAAACAGACACAGACTTGCAGAATAACAAACCAAGCTCAGTTTCCTCTATGCCTAATCCAACACCCCGCAAAGTTTACCGCGAGAGATCCAATGTTTCGTCGCAGTCGGGTAGCCAGTCAACTAACATCCCATCTAATTATGATGCAGGTCCCGTTGGCCGTGCGAGACGATCATACCAACGCCAGCATCAGCCAATGTTCCCCACCGAAACCGATAGTCACAATTTGAATTCACACTCTACTCTGGTTGCGAACTCCTCCATCCAACCTCTTATTCCCTTTCAAACTCTACCTCAAAGTAAGTAATATTCATGTTATGCGCTTACGAATGTTTGCTTTGGTTATATGTTGAGCCGCTAATCGCCCGCTCATGCATTCGCCACCCAAAATGTTGTGTAACTACTAATCCCTTCCTTAAATCAAAATGATTTACGTCCACAACCCGTGACAAATCACTAGCCTATTTATACGAGATCTTTATGTCCGTATATTCTCCATAAGTGACGCCTTAATTTGTTGGATAAGGTCCACGTAAGGGCTTGATTAAATGAATAGTGTACATGTCTCGACTGCAATTCATGCCAATTGGTTTTAATTTCTTGACATTGTGACTCAGCTTGTAGTGTTACTCCTGCACAGTATTCGCTGTTAGATGTTTTTTGGCGATATATTGATTTTTACTGCTAGTGTTCGATCATAGGTGTCTTCGAAACATTGCTCGTATATCCTGGGACCATCGAGTAAGTAATGCAGTTGTTAGGAAACGTACTAGGTAAGGATGGCAAATCAATTGTTGACGTAGTGAAACTTCATCAGTTGAGATGGCTGGGACACGTGTTACGTATGCCCAACGACCGACTGCCTCGACGTGCGATGTTCAGTGGTATAGGAGTAGGCTGAAAGAAAGCTAGGGGCGGCCAGACCAAAACATGGCACAAGTCTTCCCTTAAACTAAGAGATTGAAATCGCTTCATATCTTTCTACGAACTAATTCTTTCTTCCTGTACTAATATATCCTTATTAAAATCTTTCTTCTATATATTACCACCTCTGATTTAACTACTTTTATGAATCCGGCGTCCATCTTGCTGTGTTAATGAGGCATGGCAACTTGGACGGATGCATATATGTTCCTGGTCCTACGTTGTAGCTGACTGACTGACCATGAAGTCACTGACAAGTGGATTGAGTCATGTTGCTAGGTGTAGACCATCTGTTTGGGGACCGCGAGATTATAGCAACCGATGGTTAGGAACCCTGAATGACATGGCTCAAAATCGTTTGCGATGGCGCAGGTGCATACGCTCTTTGTGTTCCCCCAAATTTAAAATCTCTTGATTCCTCCTTGTCTCTTTTTCTCTTCCCAAATTTATCTCACTGGATTTTACTCTCTAAATAACATATTGAAACCCTAATCTTTACGATTACTGCTTATACTCTTGCTACCTCTACCACTACGGGATTTGAATCGACAACTGCATCTCTGTGCTGTGGTATGGCAACTCGAACTGATGTACGTACGTACGAAGTTCTACGTTGTTACTGACTGACATTGCTCTCTCCAGATGCTCTCATAGGGCCGCGCATATACAACCACTGCCAGGGAAGTCCTATTCACCGTCTTCTCGTGGCGGGGTGTTGTTTACGAAGTCGAGGATCAAAAGCGAATGTCCGGCGCTTTAACCGGGTTGGTGGATACTAAGGATCAACCTAGGAGAGTTGAAAAACTGATTCCAAACCAATGGTACACATGGGCTCCAGAATTCTGAGGGAAAAAATGTATGAGCTAATTATTGGTCACCGGCTACCATGGGACTGCATCTCCTGGCGTTAGTCCACTGCCTTGTGGATCAGACCTTTAGGTCAAAGGCTCCGGGTATGGCCCTCTAAGAAAACCACCTGCGTCGTCCCAGGGCACCCGGACGGAATGGCATCGCATGCACAAATCAAGTGACTTGTGTGGTGCATATGTATTTTATGCCCCTTTGTACCAATATTTGCGTTTAACCAATAAGTAGAGTCAGAGGTAGTACGTTTTGTGGTTGATTACACATATTCAATTTTGTGATTGTTCTTACTGAACTGGATGTTTAACGTAGTGCACCCACACCTGGGTAATTTTTAACATTTCTTGGTTTGACTATATGCTATACGAGTTCCTGTTGATCTATGATCCGATCAGTTTTCAGGTTTCGGTTGTACTGCCTACTTGATGTATTTCGTAACACTAATCTTGCTATTCATGAGTTGTGATAGTGTATTATAAAATTTCGTCTGAAAGACTTGAGAGAACCCATTGTTTAGGTTATGGTGTGCTGTCTACATTTAGTCCTGCTTAGGTCATCCACATTTTGTTCATTCATAATGTGTCCAAAATGTCACCCAATAATTTCGAGCACTGACCCAACATCTTCAGTCATACAGGATTGCTGCTGTGCAAGTTCTATTTAGAGAGTAGTCGTTTAATCCCAAAAACCATTCTAAAAATCAGTGATTTGTTAACTGACCCCATCTCTTGATGGATTGACTTCAGTACTAACAGCTATCAATTTGCGGCACCAAGTACATTTTGCTTTTGTATTACCTATCAATCACGACTAAAAGCGTCCGTAGGTCAAACGTTACTAATAAATAGTCTAAATCTCATCTCCAACTATCTGAATCACTGAACAACGTAAACATAAAAAAACAGGAAAAAGTCACTTATGGTAGTTTAACCTCAACAAACTCTAAACATACCTTTCGGCACCATATATCACTTGTAAGCAAACGTAACCCAAATAAGTGCAGCACGCAGGTATAATTTTAGTTACTGATGGTATTTTCAAACACGCTTAGGTATAAAAAGCCATTTAATCAATGTGTTCAGAGTTCTACATCAAATCAGTAGAACTAAAAGCGGTATTTTGTGGGGTTGAGATGAGCCAACTGCCGACTTCTCCGTAGTTTAACTCGGTTCTCATAGTGTTTCCGTTCTGATGGTCCAGATCTGTTTGTACTGTCCTCTGCCGTATTAGAAAATGCAAGATTCATTGATGTGTCTTAATTGGACATGGGATGTGAGGGTAAATCTAATATTTACACTGACTGTAAATCCTCAGTTCCCAGGATCAAACATTGTTTTTTTGTCTGCTTGTACACGGATGTTATGAGCACTTTTCCTGGTTGTATTTTCTTTTGGTTTGATTGTATTCCTTAGTATCATTGGTTTAAAAGATCATTTGCAAAGATTTCGTTACTGGTAAGCTTTATCCACAAGTAGTAGATTATCAAGATCATTGTCCTAAGATTGTGCGACACCTTAAAATCGGTGTTAGTACGTTACTCAATTTATTTTGATTCACGTCTTTGTAATTTCTTTTATATGGATACTATGAGAAATAAAAATACTGTGTAGTTTGATCTTTACGTCAAATATCAGTCAAGTAACGCTGAAGGGAACAAGCTTAAGTTCTATCTTTCCTAGTGTTATTTCCATTTAGTGCTTAATTGTCTTTAGCGCAGTTGCTCAACCGTTCAACCTTCGGCAACCAAGTTCCGGATTCATACCTTACTCCGTTTTTGAGTTTTGGCTGGGTGTTAGTGTCATTATTCTTATTTAAATAGGGGCTCAGAACCATGTAGATAAATCATTAAGCATAATCGTACGTTTCGCAAATATAGATACTGTGTTGCTAATGTATTGTCACTCATTTCTAAGCGAATGAATCACCGTGCAATTCCTTTGAGAAAATAATAAGCAAATTTAACTTTAATTCTTATTCAATCAGTTTTTGCACATATAATTTCATTACTATGTTAGTCTGCATGCACGACACAAACTTCAATAACTCTAGATGTGTTGATTGGGAAATTCGGATTTGAAGTAAGATAGGATTTTAGGAACCAATGAGTTCGTATAGTAGCCTACACCTCTCAAGTACCCATCTCTACCCACCCAAGTTTAATACAGTATCTTAATTAATCGAGCACTATAGTAGTCGGTTAACAATCTTCAGTTCTTTTTTGTTGTTGTTTAGTTGCATATATCATCCCAGGAGCACCTGCAACAATGCTGACCCCTGCCTTACAGATTGCACAAACACCTGCTTCACATACAATAATTCCTACCGTGTCGCTACCAAACACTCAAATCCTACCTACTCAGCCGACAATACAACATCCTATTGGAGGTCTACCACATCTTCCAGTCGAAAATCTCCCCATACCTATTCTTCCAGATGGATCAGCTGTCCAATCAGTACATCCCAGTTTCAACCCACAATCATCCATGACCTCTACCGGTACAGAACAACCAATTGATACCCCTGAAGTGGTTGACGTAACTCAGGTCATTGCATACATTAACGAAGTGGGATGGAGAAAAGTAGTTTTTCCCACAAGCCTTCGGGAGCATCGTGCAGTCGCTGCTGCTATAAAAGATGCTCTAGGGTCATCAAACAACGACTTAGCGGATCTCACTGAATCAGCGGTTAACAAAAATGACTTGTCCAACCCGTCATCTACCCAACCTCGTAGCGATGATGCGCCTACAAGACCAATAAAAGCTGACGATATTATCATAGTTGAAGATCGTGTGTTTTTTGTTCCGAAAAATGTAAATCGAACCAAGTTTCTAAAGTTCCTATCGAAACTGGATTATATTAAGCATCATGTGTAAGTTAGGTTTTGTTTTACAGCTCATGCTTACTAATAACTGTTATTATAATTAACTCCTTCACCAGGTACTTAGCTGAGCCACATACTAAGGGCTGATAATACTGTTGGGTTGTTATGATGTTTTCGCATAGAATCACCAAGAAATTAGGCGAAATGCATATCTTTATTTACATGTATAAAAATGAAGTAGTGGAAATATGACGTATCGTCTGTGGTTTCTACTTTCAGCTTATGTTCATCACCAAAAATATTAAACTATGTACTCTTATTTTAATGACGTGTGGAGTTTTGTTACTGATGTTTTTATAGATTGCTGATCAGCGACTCATCCTACACGATAGATCACATCCGTAATTGTGATTTAATAGAGTAATCGTAACACGTATGTTCTTGACGCGTCACGCGTCACAAATGTACTCAAATAGTTATTCTCTAAGATATTGCTATTATACAGTGCAGTTTTTGTACTTAAGGAAGGTATTAGCAGGCTGCATACTGTTTTAAATTGGTAAAGTGATTTTGGAAATTAAGTGGTATACTCATCGTTTCCACCTCAGCTTTTTACACTAACGACGTCCTACTGGTAATAGGCAGTAGTTGTGCAGATCGTCGTGTAATTTACCCTAACTTAGTTGGGTTGGAGCGTTCAAAAAATTGCTTTCTATTTCGGAGTTAAGACCTAAAGAATAACTCGCTTCTGACCCATGCTTAAAAGGTTACATACCTCCAAGTTGTTCAAATAAGTTTAAGTAAACTTAGGTTCACTCCGCTGTTATTTAACAGCGTGAAAACCGGATGTGAGCTTTGGTATTTATGAGTTGTTCAGTCCAACATACAAAGATGTTTTAGCAAATCTGTATTTATATTATTAAACCTGAGTTCCAGACTGATAATATTTTGTTTTCCTTCCTTTAGCGAATATTACTTCAGTGAAAGCAATCTACAACGTGATTCCCACTTGCGTGCGATACTAACTGCCAATCAAGATGTTTGCCCTCTATCCGAGCTGTTACAGTTCAATAGACTTCGCTGGGTGTCCGCTACTGAATCCGAATTGCTAGATGCCGTTTCCAGCAGCAACGTCTTGTTGGTCGTGCTTTCCCCTGATGGATCACCAGCTGGAATTACTCGAGTTTGTCCAACATTGGTAAAACATTTTAATGAAGGCTGTCCTCCATCCGTCGAGTTCGGCTATGTGCGTCCTGTAAATCAAGGTGTAAGTTTGGCAACTTCGGTTTCTGATCAAAACACAATTGTTGTGCAAGTATCTTCAGCTTCTGGTCAATCTCTTACACATCCCAGTGTTGATCCTTCAAATCAAAACATCTCAATCCTGAGTCCGGTCTCAGCTCATTCATTTGGAAGTCAGGTTTCCGCAAACAGTAACAACGCCCCTTTTCCATGTGCAACACAGGTTTTGGGAGTTTCGGGTCAATCCATGAGCTCCGTTCCTCATAATTCGCTTCCGAACTATATTCAATCTTCCGCTCACGTCTTGACTCCGAACAATTTCGGGATTTTGACAAACACTTCACCAGGGAATATGATATATTCTAGTTCTTCACCCTCGCAGCAGCACGCGTCAGTTACTTCTCCGTTCTACCAATCCGACCTCGGTCCACAATCTACAATTAGACCAGCACAAGCTTTTCATTGTCCACAACTTTACACTCAAAACCAAGCTGCTGCGTTTATGGCCGCGGCTGCCAATCAATGTAGTTTGTTAGCATCAGGACCCAGCACTACAGTTTTGCCTCCGTCAGACCCGAGTACTGCGTCCTTCATATCCGCATTATACCGCCTTGCCACTCCAGGTAGCCCGGCGCCTATTGTTGGGACGTATGTACCTTCCGTTGGAAATCCTAACAACATGTCTCCTGCTGCTCCCAATTCAGCCGTGTTTCTCCAGTTTATTCCAGGAGCTCATCCTGGCCAAACTAACGCCTATTTCGCGCCTCCAATTAGTTGTCCGCCGGGCACAAACTCACTGTTAAGCCGTTCCGTTCCTGCACACGCTAGTGGAATGTGGATACCACTCAACCAAGGTTCTGGTGCGAACGGTGGTATTGTTCCGACGCTTCCTTACCAATCATATGTAGCACTAACTCAGGCTCATCCGAGCCTATCGCTTTCCAATAATCCGAGTGGTAACGGAGGGTTGTACGCTGTAACGTCTTCTCACTCATTCCCAACAGCCTTTGGAACTGTCCCTACTTTAACTATTGGTCCTGATGTCTCTGGCTTTGGTGTTCAGAAAGTGTTCAGTCATGCTCATTCACTAAGCAGTCCACATAGTTTCACAAATCACCAATCACCCGTTACTTCAAACGCGAACGTGACAGCAATAAACACACCAACCGGACATACTTCTCAAATCAATGTAAATCATAGTTCAGTTCCAGGTTCACAGCCATCAAACAGTAACTTGGCTTTGGGTAAACGAATACCTACAAACAACACTCAAACATGAATCTAAGTCTTTCCATAAGATTTTACCACATCCCTTGCTACGTACAGTGTACAGTTCCCCTTGTCCACAGATTCTTTATAACCTTTTATCCCTTAATAGCTAGCGACATTTCTAAAATTTCAGACAGTTATCTATCATCTCTTTGCACAGCTATAGCAGTTGTCTAGTCACTAGTTCCTGCATATGCGATATCTGTACTCACAGTTTGTGCCTTGAATCGTTTGTTTTTAACATTTCGAATTATTTTTGTAATTAAAAATATACGTACTTTCTTCCGAAGCTAACCTCCAAATGGCATACGTAGCTAATATCGGACAAGTTTTTACGGTTTGCTGCCTGTGATATAAATCTTTAGGTTTTATGACTTTCGTTCAGGCTGTGCCTGTCATCCATTCATTTGTAGGTATTTTATTCGAACTCAGAGCTGGTTGTCTTTTAAAATGTAGTCTTCATATTAATTGATGTATTACTTCGGATATAATCCACAAAAAGTGTAAATGCTTTTAGTTCCCATGTGTTCATGCCCTAAGTGCACTTCATCTGTCTTCCAGTGTAGTGGGGTGCAAACTCCCGAAATTAAATTAGGTTTCCTCATTTCTCACTTCCTGACGTCACGTAGTATATTTATCCAATTGTAGTTTACCATTAGTAATTCTTGTTCATTCCATGAATGCTGTCCATTGTAAATATTACCTTTATCATTTAGTCTCGAATGTCTACATTATCTTTTATGTTTATCTTACTGGTTTCGGTACCTAACACCTTGCTAACTAATTTGTCGCAACAAATCTTTAGTGTTTCCTATTATCTTCAAGCTTTCTTATTCTCATTTGTTATTATTCAGATTCTTTAAAAATAAACGTCCAAAAAATGATGTGTATCCTGAGTATTTGTTCTCTTTATAGCACTTTAGGTGTTGATAATATCGTTTGTGTAAGATAATACGTAAGAGCTGTCAGTATTTCTGACCGATGCATTTAGGTTGTAAGAATTTCCTTCATTTGCTTGATGGAAAGATTGTGTTCTACCCATGTCTCAGTGATATCATTGAGCTAGTCCTCCCGCCACTAAAGTGGTGTATTACGTCAGCGGTCCCGCCAATTCGTGTCCAAAGATAGCAACTAGAGGTCACTCGTGGTAAAGGTAAATCATCTAATTTATATACAAGGTGGTGCAGTGATAGCGCTGCCTTAATTCTCAAACTAGCCTTAGCGCCTCAAAAAGTTCACAGGTTGCCGTATCGATATAGGCAACTTTATTTTTAATACACTGTCTGTAGTTAAAAAAATCATTATATTGCTAGTCTACCTATTGACCAATTACCACTCGATACAGAGGGTTATCGCTTTCATATCTTCGAAATGATAAATTGAGTGTAGATGTACTTTAGGATTGCGTCGTCCTGCTGAATGAGTGTTGTATGTGAAGGCAGTGGTATCTAGTTCGTCAGACATTTAACTCGGCTGTCAGATGATTGGAGGCGGTTGCCAGTAAATACCGCTAGACGTCGGTGCCTTCCGGATCAGCATTCGTCAAGAAGACATTCGGATCATTGAGGGAACAAGGACTGTGAGATCCAAACGTAGGTTATTCGATGTTACAAATTGCGACGTTCCCACTGAACTTGTCTGGTTGCAGCTGAACTGTAAGGATGTAGTAGTCAAAGTTGGTTGTTCACTGTGTATTGGCTGTTGTCCAGTTTCATGTTAGTCACCTCCAACCACCTACCATGATGTGTTTTGTGTTGCATCGAGTCATTCAGGTTGGTTGGCTTACTGAAACTAGATCCGTAGAATTCAATCAATGTTAGGGAATTGAACAAACATTACATTGGTCATTACTTAGTGACCAGTCGATTGTGTCTATTTTTACTGAAATAAACGTTCTCAGTACTTGAGTGTACCTGAGCCAATCATAACTAGTACGATTGGGCTGAATTTTGTTTAGGTCGCCAAGTTACATCTCTTAAGAAATGAAATTCATAAGCTATGGATACATTGATGCCTGAATTGTTTGTGATGTATGCAGCTTATGGTAGAACTACATGTATTGCAATAGTTTTTGTTACAATTTAATCAAGTTAACAAATGGTAGGAACTATGATATTAAGCTTTATGTTTGGTCCGTAGCACATTGTTAATAGATAAGTGTGAAGGAATAAAGCCATACACTCGATCACGTCAATTCTCTCAACTGACGAAAATTCAGAGGACAAAGAACTAGAGGGTACGTTACCATTGTTCATTCGAGGCATTCAAAGCTTGAGGAATCAGGTGTATAAGTAAGATTTCTTGTGTTCAGTTGTGTAAGCAAAAATACGCAATATCCCCCGTTTGTATCCAGATTTTACAAAGTTCAAGGCTTCTAGTTCTAACTAATGAAACCAGATAATATCACAGTTGCATATATATTTTGGCAGTTCGTTTAACCATTAGATGTGTTATAAAGGGGGACAGTTAATTCTCAAGTTGAAACCTACATCTACATCTCCAGACTTAAAAAAAGTCAGAGGTGTTAGGAAAGAGTAATCACATACCTCAGTAGTTTAATTACATTTGTTAATTATCGTATTTTAATCTATTTTTGGTGCATAATAAATCTTTATCTACGGTCTTTGCTTTTTTCTCTATAATGAAACCTCCAATGGTTGACAACTTACTATGTATTAGAAACCAATCGAATTCATCTGAGAAATTATTGTAATTGATCACTTGGTGATAGTTAGTGCCTTACTGTTTATACCTTATTTTTGATTTATTTCTATCAAGTTATGATATAATCACTTCTCAAAAACGGAGGGTTAAAAAATAGCCAACCTTAGAGATACTACATTTCACTTTGAGTCACAAATGATTTAAAAAATGGGAGCCAGCACATCTGGAACTACTCACAACAATCTCGTGTGACCGGACTTAAAACGTTTCTCAAGCTCTTCATTCAGCCTCTCAGGTCAACAAGACCACTTAACGCTATTTCCTATCTAGGCTCCTCCAGGAGAACCATCCTTCTACGGTATGGACAACCAATAAACGCAATTAACCTCATACATTTAGCAGCACTGAAGATCACTATGTTCATGTAAGAGTATTTGGAATCTCCAACAAATAGATACTACTGTTGGTATATCGAACCTGTGTCATTAACATCAACGAAAAATACGATCCCCTACAAACTAAAATTAATATACATTGAACAAGCTAGTGACTATCTGGACTCAATGACTGCGTAGATAACGCATCTACGTCTAAAGACTCAGTGTAAACATATATGCCGAGGAGCAGTAGATCAAAGTGATAACTTGCTAATAGGACATTTGTCCTGGATCCCACAGTTCTTGCAACTAGCAAGAACTATTATATATATATATATATATATATATATATATATATATATATATATATATATATATATATATATATATATATATATATATATATATATATATATATATATATATATATATATTCATTGTTTACAAATTGTGTCTTACTCTGAGTTTTCATTCATTTTTTTGGTTAAATGCAAAGGTATACAAGGACATTGGATGAAGTCAAGAAATTTAATTTTGTAATTAATTTAATGTAGTATTTTTTTATCAGATCAGATGATGGAAGAAAAGATGCGATAATCGGAAACTTGATAAAATGATCAGTTGGTGTATAAGAAAGATATGGTCACGGTTTAACAGTAACAGTTGTTTAAACATATTAAGTACTTAACACTACTGTAAATGATACATTTATAAGCTTATCTAACGAATTCAATCGATTTGAAATGGAAAGTATAGACAATTTCCTATTGTAAAATAATTATTTAATATTGCTGAACAAAATGTATGACAAAGTGAGAAACTACAAACAACATTATTATTACCCGACTCGGTATTCTACGCAAATCGAAATATTTAACTTTGATTGGTGAATGTAACTCAATAAATCTTCACCTGAAATTATGGTATGCTACTTCGATAACTCTTGACTCAACGCCCATAGTATTTTTTTAAATAAAATGGTATTTCTCGTCATTCCAACTGACAGTAATGCATAAGAAAAAAACATATGTATTTTTCTAAGGGTGGCCACGGTAACTAGTCAATTAACGCGCAAGTCTGGTAGCACCTAATTCAAGGGTTTATAAATTCAAAATGGAAATAATTAAAAAGTCGTATTCTGTTCGGGTATTTTGGAAATCAAAAAGTTACCAACAAGCGCAACAGAAATAAGTAATTGTAATGAGATAAACTGAGATAACTTAAATAAATTGACTTGACTGAAATTTACAAATGGTTTATGTCTGCCAAAATGCTAACTGACTCATGGCGAATATTGAAAATCCTGCAACCAGTGATTCATAATGAAAATCCAAAGACTTCTGATATTAATTTATTTAACCCCGGAAATAAATCGAAATGATACGCGGATACACTCGTATATTTGAGTTTACTAACACTTATTGACTTTTTAACAATTATCACACCTAGGGGGATTACTACAAACCCACGATACAAATGACCAGTTAAACAACCGTCAGACATGATAGTGACTTCTGGGTCAGTTTACAAGTTTTAGCATTTAATCACAACTGTTTGGTTTCAGTTTTAACTCAGTTTTCGAGTCAATTTATAAAATATTAAACTTAACTAAATATTCCCATGAAACTTTTATGGATTACATAAGTGTACAAAATAAACATAACACTGAACTATAAGAAAAAGCAAATAAAATTTCGAACGATTGTTTATTAGAAAAAAAATCTACATAATAAATGAATATGAAAATAGGATTGTGCTTTGAAATCAACAGTAATAGTACGAGAAGAAGTAAGCAAAAGATACTTTCCTATTACCCATTTATTTCTAGAGAACTTTATATTGATTATGACTAAGTGTTTGATCATGCATGTAGTAAGATTATACAATGTAAGGATGAAGACAACGATGTATTGTATTCAAAAGTTCTAAATATGATTAGTTGGATAAGGAGTATTAACTAATATAATGTTTGTCCAGTTCTTTGTCCTGAACAAGTTATATAATTAGAATAATCAATGATGAATTTAAGTCGTTCACTCGGAAAAATTATTATTCCCTTAACTGTGATATTGAGTGAAGTGTATTTAAATCCCACAGGAAACAACGGTTTATACAATATTACAGGTATATTTGAGCGTCAACATGCACGAAATTTAGGTTTAGGGTTTACTGTTAATCGCTTCCAACCATCGAACCATGGTGTTATGTATTAAAAACGATCATTGCATTTGGTGAAATTCATGTTTTAAGTAACTGAATGTAGTTTGCGGGAAATCCTCGACCTAGGTTTAATGCTAGTTGAGACTCATTAAAAAGGCGTACCATAAAAATAATATTACCTGTAGGACTAGAACCTTCCCCATTTAACCCCACATACTTATATATTGCTACTGAACTGTTTAAGCTGCAACTGGATTATTGTAATACTATTACTTCGGTGACATGGGTTCGAATCTCAAATGAAGCACGAGTTCCCTAAAGATTACAGATAAACCTTACCTGATAACACTACATCTAGGGCGGATATGATTTTCTGTCGAATATTTCCAAACATCTAACACCAAACATAATACATTCGATGTCAAATTACTTAGACTAGTGAATACATAGCAACTGGAGTGATAGCATTCAATCAAAACCGAAAAACTATACAAACATTACATTGATTTTTACTTAGTAGTCAACTGTGTGTACATTCAGATTTATTACCATTAAGTTATGTTTTATAATTTTACTGTTCTACAGGAAGAAGATTTAGTGAGACTATAATTTATGGACGAACCGATCAGATATAAGATAACAATTATGGAATTTTGGCGCGAAATTCACCCATGGCTAAATAGAGTTTTGGCAT